CTTCCTTTTGACCAGCCTCTCTGTCTGTGCATCTGCTTCCTCTTTCATTTCAGATGATATGTTTGGGGGTAGATCCTTAATGGGTCGGAATCTTCTTCCAGCCAAGACAGCTTGCCCTGTAAACTTTGAGTTTTTGAACTACACCATATACATTCACCTCCTTCACGCCCTCACAACAGAACCATCACCTCCGCCGCCCATTGGCAACTCACCGTCTCCTTCTGAACACCACCACATTTAAACTTGCTGCAATCAACAGGGCGAGCAGCTTCAGAAGAGTACTCCTTGGAAGACCTTTGATCCATCTTTCCTGGAATGCAGTTCTCACGGTCGTCGGCCGTTCCGTCTTCGGCACACCCTCTGGTCCTCTAGCGATCTTTCACACAGATTTCTCTCCTCCTCTACCACCACTGCAGCCGGCGATCCAGAAGTCATGGACGTCAAAGCCTTCTCAGCGACGACGATGGGATCGTCGATGATGACATCAGATCTTCGGCCGCTTCTCCTCTCCTTCGTGTCCTCTGTCTTTTTGGTGCAGATCAACAGAAACAAGGGCGGAAGGAGTTCGATCGGCTGTATTGGAGATGTGGAGGAGTTCGATCCACAGCCACCAAACTCATGAACACGCTTCACCCACTCAATCTCTCTCAATATTTTTGATTTTTGGTGAGACCAAACCCACGGTCTCTCTCTCTACAACACCAAAGTCCACTTTACACACCCTGTCACTCTCTCTCTCTCTCTCATAATCACCCCCACATGCCCCAAGATATTCCACTTACACAACCCAAAAAAAAAAAAAAAAAAAAAAAAAAATATTTTTCCCATTCTTGTGGTGTATGGCACGCACTATTTTGAGCATTTGTGAATGCTACTGCCTCAGCTCTGTCTTGGTTAAATAGCCGAGGCAGCCACGCGCATCGCGCGCCTCTTCTCGCCGACAAACAGGCACGCCTTTTGATGCATTCGGGCACGCCTTTTGATGGCACGCCTTTTTATGGATTGGGCACGCCTTTTGATGGCACGCCTTTTTATGGATTGGGCACGCCTTTTGATGGCACGCCTTTTTATGGATTGGGCACGCCTTTTGATGGCACGCCTTTTTATGGATTGGGCACGCCTTTTGATGGCACGCCTTTTTATGGATTGGGCACGCCTTTTGATGGCACGCCTTTTTATGGATTGGGCACGCCTTTTGATGGCACGCCTTTTTATGGATTGGGCACGCCTTTTGATGGCACGCCTTTTTATGGATTGGGCACGCCTTTTGATGGCACGCCTTTTTATGGATTGGGCACGCCTTTTGATGGCACGCCTTTTTATGGATTGGGCACGCCTTTTGATGGCACGCCTTTTTATGGATTGGGCACGCCTTTTGATGGCACGCCTTTTTATGGATTGGGCACGCCTTTTGATGGCACGCCTTTTTATGGATTGGGCACGCCTTTTGATGGCACGCCTTTTTATGGATTGGGCACGCCTTTTGATGGCACGCCTTTTTATGGATTGGGCACGCCTTTTGATGGCACGCCTTTTTATGGATTGGGCACGCCTTTTGATGGCACGCCTTTTTATGGATTGGGCACGCCTTTTGATGGCACGCCTTTTTATGGATTGGGCACGCCTTTTGATGGCACGCCTTTTTATGGATTGGGCACGCCTTTTGATGGCACGCCTTTTTATGGATTGGGCACGCCTTTTGATGGCACGCCTTTTTATGGATTGGGCACGCCTTTTGATGGCACGCCTTTTTATGGATTGGGCACGCCTTTTGATGGCACGCCTTTTTATGGATTGGGCACGCCTTTTGATGGCACGCCTTTTTATGGATTGGGCACGCCTTTTGATGGCACGCCTTTTTATGGATTGGGCACGCCTTTTGATGGCACGCCTTTTGAGGGTGCGGGCACACCTTTTGAGGGCTCGATATCTACATCCATGTATATTTTTTGGGCAGCCTATATACCCACTCATACAATGTCTTCTACACCGGTTAGCTTTATCAATCCCTTTGTTTCAACCTCAAATAGGTTTCTATCTTCACACCTATTTGAGTTTGAGGGGGGGTTATACACAGTAGCATGTTCAAGCCACCTCATGGCGCACTCCCTAAGTCGCCCCCTTGGTGCACCACCACAACCTCTTCTACAACGGTCTGACACGACCACACAGTGTCTGCTACATTGGTCCGACATGACCCCGTAAACTGTCTGCTACAACGGTCTGACACGACCATACCGTGTCTCCTATCCTGTTTTATTTTATTTATCAGTTTATTTTTCTGTTTTGTAACTCTCTCCAAACTCAAGTTGGTTTGTGTCTAACCTCCTTGAGTTTGAGGGGGGCTGTTAATGTACACTAAACCTAACCCACTAACCTAACCCACTACACCCACTCAACTCCACTAAACCTAACCCACTCTACCTACCACCTCCACTTCACCCCCTACCAGCACCACCACAATCTGCTACCTTCTCTTCTATATATAGGAGTTGTAATCAATATACACAGATCAATCTTGTAATCTAAATCAATCAATAATATACATCAGTTTATTTTACAACACATAACAAAGAAAAAGCATTTGCGATAGTTGAACTGTCCCAACTATATTATATATGATTAACTCTATCAGTAAAAGTGGGGGAGTCTATTTGCTTTCTCTTTCACTCATTTGTTTTGTGGCTTGCTTAAGTACCCATACCACCATGATTCCTCGCAATCAACACCTTATTTTTTTAGGAAATCATTTATTGCAGTTATGATGTTAAGACTCTGTTTGGTATTATTTATTATGACTTACCTTATTTTATTTATTTATTTTAAGAGAGTAAGTTATATTGTTTGGTTCCGTTTTTGTTTACCATTTGTAAGACAAAGATTTTTCTTCGAAAACCTCTTAAAAGCCATCTTATTGACTAAAAAACTTATTTTGCTTTTTTTTTTTAAAAAAAAAAAAAGCCTTTACCTATTCTAGAAACCATTAGAAAGTACCCCTTCTGCCAAAAAATAAAATAAAATTAAGAATATGTCAAACGAATTACTTAATTTAATTAATAAGTTAAATTTTTAATCAGCTCTGAAAAGAAGCCTAAAAAAAAAAAAATTATTATTATTATGAAATTGAGAAAAAAATATTTTAAAACTCTATCTTTTAATTAACAACTTAGACTGCACAAAACAAGCCTATTTGCTATCAAAATTGCTTTAGAGCTCTAAAAGAGCACCTCTAAACTAGCATTAAATTGTCTTTTAGTGACTTTTGTTTTGTCTTTTTCTATTTTTTTTTTTTTTTTAATTAGGTGCCACCTCATTAGAGCCAGCTCTAGTTAGAGCTCTCAATCACTCCCCATTTGCTATGGCAGTGCACAGGCATGTTTTTTGGCAGTGCAGTGTTGAAAGTGCAAGGTAAGGTAACTCCAAAGGTATATGAGCAACTTTTTTTGGAATGTTGTCTTTGGCGGTGCATCATGCCCGTACAATGCAATATTATTGCAGGACGCATTTCCTTTCCCCCAACAAACTCAAAAGGGCAGTTTTATAATTTCAAGGGAAAACAAGGGGTTACTCATACTATCACAAATCTAATATAGTATCCGCTCTGTTTCTTTGATTCTCCAACCTATTAAACCACATTATCCCACTTCATCAACAAATATTTAAAAAAAATAATAATAAATTTACAAAGCTTAAGAAAGAAGTAAATATTAAAGTAAATTATTAATAAATCTTAATAGTTTGACTTGATTTTCATTCAGTTCTATTAAAAATAAGTCATAGTAAAATTATGGTTAAAAATAATTTTTTGTGACGAGTTTTTAAATGTCACTAAAAGTTAATACTTAATGACTTTTTTGTCACGATTTTTAAAACTTATAATTAGTATTTTTTATATAATGAATTTTTCAAACTATCACTGAAAGTTAAAAAGTATTGAATTTTTTTAAACTATTATTAAAATTTATAATTAGTGACATTTTTTGTGATAAATTTTTTTTTGAAAATTAATAATTAGTAATTTTTTAATAATATTTAATGAAAAATATCATTAATTATTATATTACTTATTAAACAATAAATTTACCTATTAGAACTTACACATAAATATTTCTAAATATTATACCTTGCTTGGTTTCTAGTTTTTCAAAACACTTTTCAGAAAATTCTACTTTCTTATTTTTCGTGTTTTTTTATTTTTACTGAATTTTTTTAATATTTTAAGAAATTTTTTTACTTTTTACACACACCTAACATAAATACACCTAAAAAGTAAAAAAATTGTAAAAAAAATCTTTTAAAAATTCACTAAATACCAAAAATACAATAATTCAATACATTTTTTTTGTATTTTTATGTATTTATTAATTTTTAAAAATATTTTTTCATATTTTTTTTATAGATACATCTAAGTAAGGTGCATTTAAAAAAGTAAAAAAATGTTTAAAATTTAAAAAATATTCACTAAAAACAAAAAAATAGAAAAATCAAAAAAATCAATTTTCAAAAAATTTAATTCAAAAAATTCAAACCAAATACAGTAATTAGAGTTCTCATGGAGTTTCAAAATTTCCATAAAAATGAGGGGTCTAACACATTTGGTTTTGGGCTAATCTAGCATCCAGTCTGTTCATTTGACCTTCCAACCCAGCACTAATTAGTCTCCTATAATCATAATCACTCTACTAACTTTGTTTTTTTTTTTTTTTTAATTTTTCAATTTAAAATTGATGTTTGACCGACAAATGGGTTTAGTAAATTGAGTTAATTAGAAATTTAAAAATAAAAATAAAAATACTGTGTACTTTTCTATTTCTATTCTAATTAAGTTTTCTGATAATCAGTCACAGTCACCTTCAGAGTCAATTTTATGAAATCGTCACACTACAAAAAAATAAAATAAAAAAAAATAAAAATTGCAAATTTCATGCTTTTCTTTTACTGTATGTAAGGCATTACCTACCGATGATAAGCCCATTCCTTTATTTATTATTATATTATAGTATTTTATTATCCAAACTCCCTGCCTCCACCACCATTTCACACATCCCGCAATTCCATGTGCTTTTGTTGTGGTGTTTGCTTGCTGCAATTCCCTTCAACTTCAGGCAAAAAGTAAAAAAGGTTCTCTCTTTGTCATTACAGATACACATATTTTGGGGTATAGCGAAGAAAACAAAACCCAGAAAGAAAGGTAATCCTGCAAGGCTGACTGTATAGGATTCTTGACAATGGGGATCATTTGTGGTTGAATGGGTTCATTTTGAAATGGGTTTATGGGCTTTTCCTGTAAGAAGAGATCTAGGGTTCTAGAGGTTTGATTTGTTGGCTTTTGAGGGTGGGTTTGAAGGAGGTTTGCGGAGGCTGCTTTTCCTTCTGAATCCCATCATTTACAGCTAAAATGAGTAGACTCGATACACGTCTATGTGTACATAATGTACTAGTAGTTGTTCTCGTTTTAAGTTTTTAGAGTTGTATAATAATTTTATATCCATGAATTAAGTAATGTTTGTGTTGCTATATGAAAGTAATGGGTTACATGTTCTCTTCCTCTTCCTCTTCCTCTTCCTCTTCATTTTTGTTGTTTTCTTGTTTTTGATTATTAATTGGCTTCTAAAGCTGAAAGAAAGAATTTTAAGCTTTTTCCCTCCTCTCCCTTCAGTTTAGGAATATCTGATTGCCTCATCTTTGGAAGATTGGAAAGGTCCGTTTGTGTGACCAGTTCTCTCTCTCTGTCTCTCTCTCTCTCCATGTATTAGTATTTGTTGTTTTACATGGGTCCTTTTACTTTTACATAGTCATTCCACCCCGTAGTTTGGTGAGATTGCAAGAGATGGTGAACCAATTAGTTATGATAATGATGTATTTGAACATAGTAGGCATTCATTCTCTTATGTAATTGATTGTGTTGTATTGTCTGATAAGAATTTTGGGATATCAAGGTTGTTGCAAAATAAGATGAGGTATGAACTAAATGCAAAATATATAACACATGGGTTATTTATATGTTGGATTTGCATTCTGAGTTCTCTTATTTTCCATCCTGCAGGCATCCTAAAAAATGGCTTCTAATCTCAAAAATGAATTATCAAAGAAAACACAGATTTTTCATCTCAAGGTGTGGGTTTTAATAGGGATCTTGGTTGGGATTTTCATTGTAATTATCCTCTTGGTGCTATCATTTTGTCTTACTTCACGAAAGAAAGCCAGAAGGGCTAATGACAAACTTCCTGTTAGCCAAATCCCAAACGTGTCGAAGGAGATCAAAGAGATAAAGATTGATCAAAATTCAGCTAACCATTTTGCTCCTCGTGTTGGTGATTTCCTTGCCCTTCATGATAATTTCAGTGACAACGATTCAGACAAATTTCTGCTCCGTTCAAGCGTAGACAAGACAAATAATGCAGATAATAGTAGTCAGTCTGGCTCATTTAATCATTTAGAGAAAGATGGCTATGGTTCTCAATCAGGAGAAAAAGGGTGTATCAGGCCACTTAATGTGTTCAGACCTTCTTCGCATCCTATAACTGTTCCTTCCCCTCTAACTGGTCTGCCTGAATTCTCTCACCTTGGTTGGGGTCATTGGTTTACATTAAGGGACCTAGAAATCGCAACAAACAGATTTTCAAAGGAAAATATTATTGGCGAGGGTGGATATGGAGTTGTTTATCAGGGCCATCTGATCAATGGGACTCCTGTGGCTGTGAAGAACCTACTCAACAATCTGTAAGTTCTCAGACTTTTTTTTTTTCTTTTCCTTTTTTCTGTTGCTAAACTTCTTGTCTCATTTAACTCTATTCAGAGTCTGTAGCTATTTAGCTTATGTGGTATTTCTTATTCTGTTACTTATAGAGGGCAGGCAGAGAAGGAATTCAGTGTTGAAGTGGAGGCTATTGGTCATGTGCGGCATAAGAATTTGGTTCGACTTCTAGGTTACTGTATTGAAGGAACTCACAGGTAGCATATTCCTTTAAGCTCTCTCTATTTCTTTTTTAGTAAGTAACTAAACAATAATTAAGGACAAAATTAGAATGGCACCTATATATAAAAGGAAGAAAGGAAAAACACCTATATGCCTCCTCGTGTATCATAATGCTCTACAACGTCAAAAAATTGGTTAAGATAAGGGTTTGTAAAACCTGACTCCCAACTGTACAAAAAAAACTTACAAATTTACTTTCCAACCTATACAACGAAATTTCCACACCATTAAAGGACTTATAATTCCTCACCCCCAAATGATCCACATCAAACACAAGGGAATCAAAAGCCACAACTCCCCCTCCTCCCAACTCTATCCCCTCCCAACTATGGTGATGCTCAACCACTTTGAAGGGGAAGACAAAATACACCTTAAACCAAGAAAAAATCAATGTCCAAAGCTCTCTTGCCACTGAATAATGAATAAGTAGATGGTTCATCGATTCCCCCACCTCCTTACACATACACCACCAATTCACGACCACCTGCCTTCTCCGGATCAAATTATCATTAGTCAAAATCTTACCATAAGCTGCACACCACACAAAAGGGCTACTGTCGAGGGAGTCTTGGTACCCCAAATGGCTTTTCCAAGGAAACAAGGAAGAACAACCAACTATTGGATGATTCACCTGAAAACATCCTAAATCAGAAAGACTATACTTCATCATATCTTCCCTTGTCTTGATGCTTTGCCTCTCATACAACTTGTGAAGAAATTATGTCAGCTTTGCCATCTCCCAATCTTGTGCCTTTCTTCAGAATAGAATGTCCCAATACATGAGTGCCTTCTCTGTGCAGGTAATCAACCACTAAAGCATTTTTGTTCGCTGTCATCCAATAGACAGCAGGAAAAGCTCTCTAATCTTCCTTCCCGGCACCACACATGTGATCAAAACTTCACCCTCTCCCATCCCCCACCACCAAAGAGGTGAACCATCAAACTTGTTCCACCCCTTTCTAATCCCTGTCCAAAGGCCTGTCCCATAAGACAAAGATACCTCTAGAGATGGCCAATCCCCCAATCACTCCCATATTTCCAAACCACGAACCTTCTCCACTTTCTATCCTTGTCATAGGTAAATCTCCACAACCATTTTCCCAATGAAGCTTCATTAAAATTTCTAACTTGCTAATCCCTACTCCCTATTTCTACAGGAGCACAAACATTAGTAGGTGGTATTGACTCTTCCCCCTGGTAGTCTCCTCTTAAACCTTTACACCACTGCAACCCATGCTGAATTTGCTTTGGAAGGAACCCAAAGGTAGTCCCAAGTAAGAAAAATCAATGTGCCAACGAATCAACCTTAGCCATGTCCCCAACCAGAATGATCTATGATTTTCCCAAGTTCACTTTTTGGTCCAACTTACACACCACTCCTGGGTCCCCACTTCTCAGCCTCTAATAATGCATTCGTTATAGACCAAAGCTGCATCCATTAAAACAAAAGCTTTTTGGGAAACAGAACATAGGAAACTGATAAAATTGATTACTTCTTCAAATACTTTTATGTAAGTATGAAATAGTATACCTAATGCGTAGCAATCTTTTATAAATTAGTTGATTGAGCAACAACTATACCATCGGTTGTACCATTAGTTGTACAAAGACAAGCAATCATCTTTTTTGTTAAATGGCACGAAGGGTACCATGTTACTTCCATAGTTATATGTATTGAATTAAATTATTAACTTCTTGCTACTGGATATATGTGGAAGTGTTTGTTTATGTAATTCAAAACTACTGGAAGTGCTTGTGAGTATATTGTTTGAACTATGTAAGTTGTTGGCTTCCATACTTTGTACAGTTTTGATTAATTTCCCTTCCAAATCTTGTTCTAAATTTCAGGTTGTTAGTTTATGAGTACGTCAACAATGGCAATTTGGAGCAATGGCTTCATGGGGCGATGCGCCAGCATGGATATCTTACTTGGGAAGCCCGCATGAAAATTCTCCTCGGCACTGCTAAGGCGTAAGTTATTCCTCTTAATGTGAGTTATCTACATGTTTCTTTGGCATCATGCTGTTTTACACATGACATAATTGTTGCAGGCTTGCCTATTTGCATGAAGCGATTGAGCCGAAAGTGATACATCGAGACATTAAATCGAGCAATATACTGATTGATGATGACTTCAATGCTAAAATATCTGATTTTGGTCTAGCCAAGTTGTTGGGTGCTGGAACGACTCACATTACAACCAGAGTTATGGGTACCTTTGGGTGAGTATCTTTATGAAACTAACCTGCAATTCAGTTATGCAGTGATTCATTTTCCTCTTCACATTGCTTGTGTTTCTTAAGTTTAAGAAAGACCTTGAAACAACTAGGGAAGTCACTAATTGGTGAATAACCATTATTTTTTCTTCTTTTTTCTTTTTTCTGAATTTGATAGATATGTGGCTCCAGAATATGCAAATAGTGGCCTCCTAAATGAGAAGAGCGATGTTTACAGCTTTGGGGTTGTGCTCTTGGAAGCAATCACTGGAAGAGATCCAGTGGATTATGGCCGCCCAGCACATCAGGTAAGCAAAAATTGATTTCTTAAATCAAGAATTTGATTGAATTTCTAAAGGGGCATCAACACAATTTCATCTTCCTCATATTTCTTTTCAACTTACATACTACACTCGCATGAATTCATGCATGAAAGAGGTTTTAACTTAAAAAGAGGAGAAAGGTGTCTGTGTATAAGTTAAATATAAAGCAGTGTATGCATGCCGGTCATATTTTAATACACATATTGACACCTTACGTGATATACAGTTCATGTAGTTGCATGTCCAAACTTCATTCTGTTGAATTCAAGAGGTGGCCTTTGGTGTACGTAGGCCATGTGTGGTATGTGGGAATGAGATGGAATGGAATATGCATTCCAGCTTCTCATTCCCTTTCTCGTCTTTGATATGACAGTATGAGTTGGAATGGCAACGTACTCCCTCACCAAAAAGCACTGCCTCCTCTCACACCAACCACCGCATTGCAACTCCTTTCATCTTTGTTTACCACCACACCAGCACAACTTTCTCTAACCATAACCACGCCACCACTGCACCAGATGATTCTTGATTTGGATCTCATAATGCCTTTGATTTGCTTGTAACAAATTTGGGAACATGATTATGATGCATTTGGGGCTACACGCACACACACATATGTGTATGTATATAGTTTATGATTCTATTTCTTCCATTCTAGCATAATAATTACTCAAATCTAACATTAGAATGAGAACAGTTGTTACATTCCCACATGATTCCATGTTAGATACCATTGTACCAAATACGTGAACGGTAATGAGTATTGCATTCCATTACCATTCCAATGTGCATTCCATTCTAGCTTGTGTAGTTCCAACCTATCAAACATGGCTGTAATGGTTACAGTGGATCCTAGTGCCATTATGCCATATATATATATATATCTCAATTTTTTGTCTCCAGTGGTACTGATCATCTGGAATTTAATTTTTATTGCAATTTGTTCTATTCTATTGTATACAATTATTGAGGTTAGGTAACAAAACTTTTGGAATTTGGTCACAATTTAAATAAAGATCAAGCTAACTAAAAAACATTTGAAAATTCACTTTTTGGAATATTGAAAATGTAATGGGCTAAGACCAATGTTTCAGTTTGAGCTTGATTGACCAACTCAAACATGGTGGTTTTATGTTCCCATTATGGATTAAGTACCTATGAAGCATGGACACGGCAAAATAGAAGCCGTGGCGGTGTCGGAAACGGGGACACGCCGGGGACACGGGGACACGTCGGGGACACGTACGGGACACGGCATTTGGCGTGTCCCCTTAATTTAATCTATTTTTTTGCAGGGGACACGCGTGTCCAGAATCTAGACACGCCATAGACACGGCGAGAAGAGTTAATGGAAGGGAAAACGAGGACAAACCTGGTCGGCGACGATCCAGAGCCCTTCGACTTCGATCGACGATCCAGAGCCCCATTCGACTTCGATCGACGATCCAGCCCCTTCGACTTCGACGAGCTCTCTCTCGCCTTTGCCTTCGCAGAGCGCTCTCTCTCTCTCGCCTTCTCTCTCTTGCTCGCGATCGTCTCCCTCTCTCTCGCTTCTGATCGCGATCGTCTCGCTTCTGTCTCCTCTCTCTCGATTCTCTCTCGTCTATCCTTTTGTCTTGATTCATATATAACATTATAACTATTGTATAATAACTATTATTATTATTTATACATATTAATAAATAAAAAAATAAACATATGTATGTAAAATAAAATAAAATAATTAATTACAACACATTATTTAAAAATATAATAAATAAAATAATTAATATGTATTAAAATAAAAATATTTATTAAAAAAATTAAAAAATTTACCATGTCCCCTGCTGTGTCCGTGTCCCTATTTTTTAGAAATTGCCGTGTCCGTGTCCGTGTCCGTATGCGTGTCCGTGCTTCATAGTTAAGTACTATATGGCATGATATATAGTCACATATTTTCTGATTTTTGAATTTGGGGATTCATGAAGGTAAACCTGGTCGACTGGCTTAAAATGATGGTTGGCAGCAGGCGCTCAGATGAAGTGGTTGACCCAACCATTGAGATCAGGCCCTCTACAAGTGCCCTTAAAAGAGCCCTTTTGACTTCTTTGAGGTGTGTTGACTCAGATGCTGCCAAGAGACCAAAGATGGGTCAAGTTGTCCGCATGCTTGAATCAGAGGAATATCCCATTCCACGAGAGGTTCGATTATTAGATTTTCAAATACCAAAGTACCATTTCTAGTTTGTAATTGATATTAAGCATACATTTAACCAGAAAATAAGCTGCTGCTTCCATTCTTTTACTTGTTTGAAACATGAGGGTTCAATTGGGTACAAGTTAAGAGAATAAACTTCAAAAATTTGACACAGTTGGACTTTCAGGATCGAAGACGCCGAAGGAACGATGCTGTAACCATAGAAGTTGAATCACAAATGGAGAACTCCGACACAGATAAGAGCGACAATCCAGTCTTGAGGTCAGATAAACGAAGAAGCCACAGGGCATAATCAAGCGGGTGAGGCATTTATAGATTTTGAGCAGCATATGCCAAGGGGTGATTCCCACATTCTTTGCATCTTCTGAGCTCAGCACAATGAAGATCAAAGCAGGCAGAGCAGTGGAGGTGAAGTATTAAGGGATTTTCTTTTTGTGTATGAAGTTGACATCACAAAGAATAGCCTACAAACTGGTAGTATGTACAGGTCTTTGCGAAAGTTTTTATTTATTTTTTACTTCTTTTCGTAGGCTGATGTAGTTCACATGGATTATTAATCAATTGCCATTGCTGTGAAGAAGGCAAATGATTTGATTTTGTGATTGGATTTGAAGAAAGTTCTTTTATTTTTCCCCCATTTTTTGTGTATGTATCTCCTCCAAATTACACTATTCAAAGAATCCAGGCACTGCCTACACTTCAAAAAGTATTGGTACCTAGTTTAATATTATTTATGATGGACTTCCAGCCAGCCTGCCTCTAAACCATGCGTGTTCTACTTCAGATTGGCATATTGAAAGCCTGGTTTGGTAGGTGTCATGTTGTGTCGTAATCTTGATCTAGATGCTTCAGTGTTGGGCATCTTGATCAGCCAAGGCAATTCAGCAGCTAACTTTGTCCTTCTGTAACAAATCAAACCTTGCAAGTGAAAGGTTTATAATTACCGGTTGTATGTATTACTATGCAATCAGAACCTTCAGTTAAAACATGTACTTCCAGAAAAGAGAATTAGAAGTTAAGTGAATATGATTAACAAAGAACTTATCATTAGTAAGTTTGTCTAATGATACAGTTTGTGTGGTATGCATTGTTGTTAATCATCACAACCAGAGGGTAATCATCTTTTGGCATCCAAACTGGCAAACCGCCATAGGATGTCCATGCACCAAGAGAGAGGGAGAGAGAGGAATTTGAAAGACACTGTTGCTTGTTTATGAAAATACTAAACACTGGCTAATCCAGGATTCACAGATTGCATATAGATGCTAATACACTAAACTCCCTCTGTGCAATATTGTGAGATTGCATTAATGAGAAAGATGAAAGGCAAAACCCTAGAAACAGTCCGTAAAAAATATGACCATGCATTTCATTTCAGAGAAGCAGCAAAAGTAATCAGCTCAGACACTAATTTTTCAGAACAAGCTAAAAATTCTATTCATCTATAAAAATACTTTATTTCCTCCTTGTAGCAGTATTAAACAAAACCAATCAAAGAACACAAGGCTCTGGCAAGTAATTCAAAGCCCCTTTAATACAAGCCAAATAAAAATAATTTTCATACCACCCAAGTGACGGTGCATAATCTACAATAACCTGTTAACAAAAATAAAATAAAATCCCACGAACATATTTGTCAAGAGATCACGGAAGAAAATTCACAAGCTTGATGTGTCACTGGGAGGTCCAGGTCAAGTATTCAACAAAGGCTGGAGAGCTTTAACAACAATGCTCATGTTTGGCCGGAAATCAGCTTCATATTGCACACACAATGCAGCAACAGCAGCCATCTGATTTGAACACACGACAATATAAAGAATTAAATGATGTAAAGCATTTTTCAGAGATCAATCATATTGAAATCTAATCCAAGGCAAGAAATTTCATTGCAGAAGTCACTCAGTTCTTTCTATAAATGTAAATGGATTCAATCATATTACAATCACTAATTAAAAGAGCATTTGGAGAAAATAACAGCGAGAATGTCGTTGAGCACATAAAAATAGATAATAGTAACAATGTAATATATGGAAATTACCTTTGCAACTGCCTTGGGAGGGTATTCTCCTCCCAATCTAGTGTCAACACACTGCTTCACCTTAGCTTCACTGAGTTTCGGTGTTGCCTATATTGAGCTCAGATTGAAAAAATTAAATAAACTGACCAAAAGTTCAAATAACAGAGACAAGTACACTCTAGTCAACAGGAAAAAATGAACTGAGATAAAGTGAGTACCCAGGTAACAAGAGACTGCTGTCCATGCGGCTATGTATGATCAACAGGTTTACGCCCAGTCAAGAGTTCCAGGAGGACAACACCAAAGCTGTATACATCGCTCTTTGAACTCAGTTGTCCAGTCATTGCGTATCTGCCATCCAAAATCAGAAAACTTGACCACTATGAATGTGTTTAAGACGCCAACTTCACAACAGCACAAGACAGATAATAAACAAAAAAGGGTTCTTGAGGTTCAAACAGACTCTGTAATTCACTAAAGAAAGTATGTTAACAGATGGGCAGACCAGATATATTGTCAAAACCCTGTTAGTTGTTTGGGCAGAGCACATCTGTGGATTCATCTACTATTCGGTTCTTTTACTCCTCCAGAACCATCCCATGCTTTTCCTACTTCAAATTTTATTTTATTTTATTATTTTTTTTTTCAGGGTTAAAAAAGCATATAATATGTAACCAAAAAACAAAAGTGACATTATATATATTTTTGTTACAGTACCAGATCCAATAACTCAATGGCTGCTACATTTTTAAAGGATGCCTCTGCCAAGCTTCCCTATCAGACACTATGAGAATTCAGTAAACATTCAACAATTCAAAGCAGCTATTTCAAAATCAAAACAGTGGCGTACTCTGGAGCGTCATAACCAAAGGTTCCTAGAACACGAGTGGAATGCAGACGTGCTGCCATGTCAGGGGCTTGATTGGACAGATCGAAGTCGGCAATTTTAGAGACATCATCATCAAAAAGTAAGACATTGCTGGACTTAATGTCACGATGGATAATATGAGGCTCTGCCTTTTCATGTAAATATTCTAGCCCACTTTGTCCTCCCACTCATCTACTTTGTCCTTCATATTCTCCATTATCTCTATAACTTCTTTTAACTTCCAAATGGATAAGAGGATGTCACGTGTCCTGCAATTATATAAATAATAAAAAATTACAGATTTATGGTGTTAACAGTCCTACATCCACAAATTGAAGAATATTACGCATATCACCTAGGAGGTGAAAGAGTATCCACCATTTATGGACACTGTGATGGTTAATTGACGAATCAGAAAGAAAATGTGGTTAGGTCTTTGCATTTCGCATTATGCTTGGAGTTACTGCTTATATGTCAAGATTCTGAAGAAGCTTTCTATGCAATGCACTTTCTGTTTCTGAAATCGATGTTTTATTGGTGCTCAAAGAAGCAAAATTTTACCAAGAGGGTGAATAGCAATCCACTTATACATGGGGATGTAGGACAAGTACAGTATACATTCTCATAGAAGCAACAAGCCCGAAATTAATGGAGGACAGCAGCAAAACGGGTTTACTTAGGCCTGCTTCTGGCCATTGACAACACAGAAAGGATTCGATTGCGTCACACAATCTGAAAGCAAACTTCAAAACTGGGAAAATTCTCTAAATATCAACCCTATCGAATTAAAAGTTTTATATGACTTTATATAGACTTCAAAGAACACGCTGTCTTAATAGAATTTGGTTTTTTACTTGAAATGAAACTACAACTTTTGACTTTCAAAACCAATATAAACCTAAATAAAACCCATACGTAGAAAGCCAATAGCATAACTTGACCCATATGACAATTCATGTGTGGCCCTTATTATGGCCCACATCAAGAATTTTCTGCCAATTACCAAAGTACCGCTAAACTATAAAACTTCAAAGAACTTTATCACAAACTAACTAGTTGCGTATTTAAGTTAACCCAAAACAAACACAAGAATGACTCTACAAAGACCAGTAACTTTATGCATGGTTCGTATAGGCCTCACAACGAAATCATGTGAATTTTTAAATATTGCCACGTTTTTAAATTTACTTTTCCTTGAGCTTCTTATGGCTTATATCACGTGGCCACTGTTGGCTTCAAAGGGGTCTAACTCCCTACAAGGGGGAAACAAAGAATTTGTGCTCTTGATTTTTAACTGTCTCTGAGGCAATAGAACAGTTTTAAATGAAAGCATCATGTATCACACTGAGAATGAAGCAATACATCATCTCGCAAATTAGTTTTGCAGCAAGAGTCTGCAGTCATTAACTATTCTTAAGTTTGCTAGAACTAACCAGAAAAAGGCCTAAAGTATACAAAATTACCGAAGTACAAGCCTTCATTCTTACCATCACCAAAAATATATTTACTTGTCATTACAGAGTAACACAATACACAAAGGATTTTAACTAATCTATATGAGGGGTTGATGGTGGCTAATAAAAGTCCCCTTAGAAAAGGAAAAACTTGGCATTACTTGCCATGAATAATATCATGAAGGGATCCATTTGAGGCATACTCATAAACAAGGACACGGAGACCACCATCCACACAATAACCAAGAAGCTCAACAACATTTTCATGTTTTAGTCTTGATACCATTGAAACCTGTTAAGTCATGAGGCAACTGATCAAAATCTGATATGGCTTAGTTTTGTGAAACTTAATGCATTGTAGTAGGCCCAACCTGTGCTAATAATTCTAGGTCTGGTTGCTTACTGGAGTCTAACTTTTTAATGGCTGCAGCCTGCCCACTTTTGAGAAGACCACAGCAAACTCTTCCATATGAGCCCTCACCAATTAATGCCTTTGTACCGAAGTTATCTGTTATTTCCTTCAGTTCATCCACTGGAATAGTGGGGACAGCAATAGGTAGGATAACTACAGTTTTTGTGTCTTTTGGTGCTGCTTCAGTAGTATGATAACCTCCATTGTTGGCTGAATAATGAATTTCCACTCAGTTTCAGCTGAAATCAGAGAAGCCTTAAAAAATAAGAAAGAAAGGAGAATGAAGCACTGCAAGATGATATAACATGCTACGCTTATTATTGCATAACACGGATCCATACAACTGATTTTGAAGTGAATAAGGCATACCCAGAGTTGGTAATGTTTAGATTCCACCCAGGGTTGGTAGTACACAAAAATGAAATGGCAAACATGTTAATCTCTTTGTTTTCATGCTCAAAGCAAGGAATACAAACTTTAAAATTTTTTATTCCAACAATATATATATATATATATGCCTTTCTCCATATTAGTCCAACAAAGACCTTTACCATTTCAAATAATAAAAGAGGAAACACTGTGAGTTACCTGCTGAGCTATTTCCCATGAACGGTCCATTATCAGCAGCCTTTTGCATATCATCTTCTACGCAACAGCTAAAGCAGCTCATGATTCGTTTTTATCAAATGAACAAGCTGGATGTGTTAAGAAATACCTTCACACTGCAGACTCACAAAGAGATTCCTTTTTATTTATAAAGAGAAAATAGTTGGACCAGAAGACAAGCAGACGATTTTAGAGCAAGAAAAATAATGAGGCCACATCTCAAAGCAGTATTAGAGTGCATTCCAACTACCTAATAGCCTTTGAATTCCACCATACAAAAAAAAAAAAAAAAGCCTCTGAATTCTTTTTCCTTTACTTTTTTACTAAAATTTAATTTTTCGCTAGAAAATCT